TCAATACCTTGTTTTCTTTTATCTTATTGAAAGGCCAGAATATTAAATATTTGCTGTAATATCACTGGACTAGTCATCCAGAATCCCAAGCTAACGTCACTGGGGATGTGGGTTTGAATCCCATCATGGCAGATGGCAAAATTTGAATTCAATGAAAATCTGGAACGCAAGTCTTGACTAATTTTGATCCTTGCCAATTCACGTAAGAAACAAATCTGATTCACTAATATCTTTTAAAGGAATGAATCTGCCATTCTTTACTGGTCTGGCCTACATGGGATGCCAGACCTTTAGCAGTATGATCAATTCTTAACTGCCTCTTTGGGCAACTAGGGCACGTCTCATGAACGAACAGAAATGAGAATCAGATTATCTTAGGAACAGAGGAGTAGGAGTAGACCATTCAGCCCCCATTTGATGATATCATGGCTGATCTCTCTGGTTTCAATTCAATTCAATTCTACTGTCTGGTCTACATTAAAAAAAAATCCATCTTACTCAGGGTCCAATAAATTCAATAATGCAGCCTCCACTGCTTTCTGGAAAGATTCCAGATACTAATAATCCTCAGAGGGAGAAAGTATTCATCTCTGACTTAAAAAAGGAAACCTCATTCTTAAGAGATAGTAAGAACTGCCGATGCTGGAGTCAGAGATAATACAATTTGGAGCTGGAGGAACGCTGCTGGAAGAAGGATGCTGCCTGACCTGGTCCCAACCCGAAATGTTAGCTTTCCTGCTCCTCTGATGCTGCCTGACCTGCTCATCTTTGATACCTCTCTCTCCTTCCTGGATCTCTCTGTCTACATCTCCGGTGATCATCTCAAAACTGATATCTATTTCAAGCCCAACGACTCCCACAGCTACCTGGACTATACCTCCTCTCACCCATCTTCCTGCAAGAAAGCGATCCCCTATTCCCAATTCTTCCGCCTCTGCCACGTCTGCTCCCAAAATGGGGCATTCCACTCCCGAACATCCCAGGATCACAACTTCCCCCCTTCAGTGGTCGAAAATGCAGTCAACCGCATCTCTTGCGTTTCCCCGCACGTCTGCCCTGACCTCCCCTCCCCTCCCCGCAACAAAAACAAAGACAAAGACAGAATCCCCCTTGTCCTCATGTATCACCCCACTAACCTCCGGATTCAACGCATCATTCTCCGCCACTTCCGCCATCTGCAATCTGACCCCACAACTAAAGATATATTTCTCTCCCCACCCTTATCTGCCTTCCGTAGGGACCGCTCTCTCTGTGACTCCCTCGTTGGCTCCACACTCCCCACTAGCCCCACCACCTTACCCTGCAACCGCAGGAGGTGCTACACCTGCCCCTACACCTCCCCCCTCAGGTCCATCCAAGGAACCAAAAAAACCTTCCACATCAGACAGATGTTCACCTGCACATCCGCTGCTCCCAATGAGGCATCCGCTACATCGGTGTGACCAAGCGGAGGCTTGGAGACTGCTTTGCGGAGCACCTACGCTCTGTTCGTGACAAACGACAACACCTTACAGTCGCATACCCCTCCCATTCCCTGGGTGACATATCCATCCTGGGCCTCCTCCAGTGTCACATCGATGCCACCTGGAAACTGGAGGAGCAGCACCTCATATTCCGCCTTGGGAGCCTACAACTCAGTGGTGTCAATGTGGACTTCACTAGTTTCAAAACCTCCCCATCCCCAGCCTCATCCCATGACCAACCCTCCCTCTCGTCCTCGCCTCCTTGACTTGAGGCAACCTGCCGTCTTCTCTCCCACCTATCCACCCTTCCCACCTCACTGACCAATGCCCACCACTGCCAGCCTGCACTCACCTATCACCATCCCACCTACCTTCCCCAGTCCCACCCCTCCTCTCTCTATTTATTTCTCAGCTCCCTAACCCCTCCCCCATTTCTGAAGAAGGGTCCTGACCCAAAACATCAACTTTCCTGCTCCTCTGATGCTGCCTGGCCTGCTGTGTTCCTCCAGCTCCACACTGTGCAACCTCATTCTTAAACCATCTTTCCTTTTCTGGTTTTCTCCTCAAGAGGAAATTTCACTGGAATCCACTCTGAAGGCATCTTAGAATCTACTATGTTTCAATAAGCTCACCTTTCAATCTTCTAAACTTCAGTGGGTAGAGACACAGCCTCTTCAACCTTTCTTTAAAAATAAATCAGGATGGACTCAAACGAATCTCCTCTGAACTGGTTTTATTGCAAGAATATCCTTTTCTTCAAATAAGGCCAAATCTAAGTTTTGATGTGGCACTCTCTTAAGTGCCTTTTGAAAATCCATATACAGTAACATCCAAAAAAGGCCTCTTAACTCACCTTACTTGTTACTTGCAAAAAAAGTGAATAAATCACTTGAATGAAATGTCTTTTACCAAGCCATGTGAACTCTGCATCAACACATTATGTTTTTTTTAAAAGCATCCTATTAAAACCTTCCTAAAAATGGATTCTAACAATTTCCCTATGACAGATGCTAGATGCTAGGGCATACTTTTCTGTTTTCTTGAATAAACGTGTTTCATTCATCATTTTCCAATCCACTGGGACTCCTTCAGAATCTAAGGAATTTTGGAAGATTATAATCAACATGTATTTATACAGCCACTTCTTTTAAGACCTTAGCATGCAGGTCTAGGAGACCTGTGAACCTTTAGGTCTAATACTTTTCCCAGTACCTTTGCTTTAAGATTTCTCTCTTACTTTCACCTCTCATTTTAAGTATTCTTAGGAAATTTTCTAAGTCTTTAAAGAGAAGACACAGACAAAATACTTGTTCAACACCGCTTCCATTTCCATTATCAATTCTCCAGACTTACCCTCTACAGGACCAACACTAGCTTCAGATACACGTTTCCAATTTAAATACTTGCAGAAACTCCTACCTATTTGTATATTACTACCTAGCTTTCTCACAGTCTACTTTCTCCTTTATTAAGTCATTCTTTACTGGTTCTTAAACCTGCCCAATCTTCTGACTATCCACTCGTCTTTGTTTAATTGTACAGTGTTCTCTTCAATTTGAAACTATCCCTAAGCTCTTTATCTGGCTATGTAGCCTTCTCAAAGGATCTTTCTTTCTCACTGGCATAAATAAATTACTGAGAGCTAATAAATATCTCCCTTAAAAGGGTGGTCACTGCACCACTACCTGTCCTATCTCTTAACATAGTTTCCCAAGTAACTTTGCCAGCTTTGTCCTCATTTGTATAGTTATTTTGCTTTAGATTTAAAACACTCACTCTAGACCCACACTTTCAAATGGAACACAAAATTCTATAATACTAAGATCATTGTCACTGCTCCTTAACCACAGGGGCATTGATTAATTAGAGGAGCCAGAGTCATACAGCACAGAAACAGACCCTTCAGCCCAACTCATTCATGCTGACCACATTTCCAAAACTGAATTAGTGGCATTTGCCTGTGTTTAGCCCATATCCCTCTAAACATTTCCTACACGTGTACCTGTCCAAATGTATAAAACTGAGTATTTTGTTGATAAGTTTTTCAAAAATAAACAATAATTTCAAAACACTGATGGAAGGCCAAGACAGAACTGAAAAGAGGAGAAGAATCAAGACAGAAAGGCATGCACGACCAAGCCTAGATGTTAAAGACCAAAACATTGTATGATGAGAAAAAAAAACATGAGATTTTGAAGTCTTGGCAAAGTATAAATTTAGTGGAGATGCTGGTTTCCTAACTAGGTAAGAAGCAAAAGCATGAAACAGCTTGCAAACAGGAAAGTGCCCTGAGGAGATTAGCCACAGCAGTTTATATGAAGGGAGAAAGTTTTAAAAAAAAGAGTTCCAGTGGAGAAAGGGTTTTGAGGCTAGGCATCAATGAACGATTATTTTAGCAGACAAAAGTAAGCTCATTAAGTGAGGGAAATATGAATTAATGACATGACATTAAGTAGATTAAGTCTACCGTAGTGAATGACCAGCAATGAAAGGATGGGAAAACTGTACTGAAAATATGCCCCCTTCCCTCCCTTATCAATTCCACATGGAGCTGCACATGTTTTAGAAATTGAAATAAAACAAGTACACAGTGTACACGTGAATTTAGACACAGTTGCAATCCCGTGTTAAAATTCAAAACTTCTCTACACCCCCTTCCAACAATTTATGGGGACACTGTAAACTCGTTTTTATTAAGTAAGAATGTTAAAGATGTATCAACGCATCTTACCCTTGACAAGCTCATCACTAGGAGCTTCCTTAAAAAAATCAAAGTTACTCAATACCAAAATGCCCTTATTGAAACTAATTACGATCCAAGCCTTTCGAATCTTACCTTCAGTGTATAAATTTATTTTACCTTTTGCTTTGGTGGCGCTTCCAGAATCCTGTTTTAACTGAGTGTTTGGTGTTCTCTAAAATCTCATACATTTCGCTTTGACCCTGCTTGGCTCTAATCGCCTATGTTTCCGGTAGGTTTCACGCTTATCTGTGGGAGGGAACACTTTAACCAATGAGAGAATCAGGATTCTCAATCCCAACACTACTCATTTCAGGCAGTCAAAGCGAACGCACCTGGTTCTACACAGCTTCTGCTGTTTCCCGAGCGGGGAATGTCTCTGTGACTGAATAAGGGCAGTGGCAATGTCCCAACCTCTGAGCTGAGAGGTCTGGGTTCCTGTCCCAACTGCGCCCAGAGGTGTGTTATAACATCCCTGGACAAGTTGATTTTTTTTAAATGAAGCACCATCGCGCTCCAACTAATTTGCAATCTGATTACTTTCTTTAAAGCGTGAGCAAGAGCGCACACACACACACACGAAAGTATAGTGTTGTAGATACTGAGGATTTGAAATAAAACAAAGAACTGCGGATGCTAAAGATATGAAACCAGAACAGAAATTGCTGGATAAATCCTGGCTCACTCTCATCTTAGACCTGAAGAAAATACAACCAGACATAGTATTGCATCTGAAACAAAAACAGAAGTTGCTGGAAAAGCTCAGTAGGTCTGGCAGCATCTGTGAAGAAAAAATCAGAGTTAATGTTTCGGGTCCAGTGACCCTCAGACGGAACAGAAAATACAACCAGACATAGTATTGCATCTGCGCCAGTTCTTTGCAAGAGCAAATCAGACAATTCTGTTCCTCACATTCTTGTCTTGCATCTTATCAACTCGACTTATTCATACAAGTTGCCCTTAAAAGGTAGAATAATCAATTCCCACTCGCCCTGCAATAGCAAAGCACCCCAAGATTTCAGTATGTACTTTAAATCTTTCCTGATAGGCTTCTTATGGTGCAGTGGTAATGCCCTTATCTCTGAGCTACAAGGCTCCAAGATCATGTCCCAACATCTTCAGAGATGTGTAATAACACCTCTGAATAGGTTGATTAGAAAATATTGAAGTCTTTTCCACAAATGATAGCTTGCATTTATACAATGCTTTTTAACAGAGCAAAACATCCCAGGGGTGATTCAGGGACATATTCAAAACAATAGGTGCCAAATGAAAAGAGATGTTAGGAGGGATAGCCAAAGGCTGAGGAAGGTACAACTGTTTGATTGGCTGCCAAAATGGGGGCAAAACCAGGGGGAAAATTTCACAAGGTCAGTTCAAGGGATGGAGAGTGGTGGGATTAGAAGACTGGATGAGGTTTTAGAATTGGGAAGGAAAGTGAGGCTGCAAAGTAATTTAAATCTAATTCATATTTCCCTCCTTTGCATCTTTCTGGAGAATCTCCATTCTGCTATCCCTATGGATTTTATTCCCGTTCTAAAAGAGGACTTGCACCACTGAATACAGTGCTCAAATTATGGAATAAGTAACATTTTATTGAGGCTTCTTTACTGTTGCACTCAATCATACTATAAATAAGGCCTCAGAATGCATTCGCCTTTCAATCTGCCCTTTCACAGAAAGGTTTTCCTCTGTTCTTTCTTGAATTTGGTCCCATAAAGCATCAAAACTCAAGTTTGTTAGTAATAAATGTTGTCCATCGGTCCAAGATCAATAACATGCCTCATTGATAATCATTTGAAACTTTATCTCTTGTGGCATATAATTGATATGACAAATAGGAGTGCTCTGAAAGTTTGTGATTTCAAATAAATGAGTTGGATTAGAACCTGGTGTCGTGTGAATTCTGACAGTTTTCTTTAATACATCCATACTGGATGTCTTCCATGTTCCTCCATCAGTATGCTTTGCACTGTCAGGGAGAAGAGATCACATCCAGAGTGAGACACAGCCGAGTGTGTATACAGTTCAGGGAATTTAGAGTCAGCATGAGAATTCAGTGCAGAGGGGAAGAGGTGATTTTGCTTGCTTTTCTTGGCTCAGCTTGTAAAATTTATTTTAGAAAGGATAAATTAAAGCCCAGGATCAAGTGCACAGCACAAAAGATTGACATCACAGGTAAACTCCAAATTCATTGGTGATAGTCAAATTAGTAGCTATCTGTTATAGGTTACTTTCAGATTGAACATAAACAGAGTAAACATTTATAGACTACAAACTAAAAAGACCAGTACAATTTAAAAGAAGCAAATTAAGAACTAAGTAATTAAAATAAGAGATGTTGAGTGAGGCGTTGTACCTGCATGATGTTGGAGCTGGTGTACCTCAATGTGGTTCATAGTGACCATGCCTGTAGGGTGTTTCAGGAACTCCAGCTCTGAGTTGATAAGCTGGAGTCTGCGCTTTGCATGCTGCAACACATCAGGATGGTCCAGTTACCTTGATGCTGTGTTACAGGAGGCGGTCATGCCCCTTAGATTAATTCTCTCATATTCAGCCAGCGGTCAAGGAGAGGAGGGCACGACTACCAGTGAGGTATACAGAGGCATCCATAAGAGAGGGCCGAGGTTCCTTCAGCACTTCAGCTTGTCTTAACAGGTTTAAGATTCTTCCTCCCTGTGTCGATGAGAGCAGTGCTGTAGGGAGGGTGAACAAACTGACCATGGTACAGGGAGACATTCAAGAGGGGGTAAGAAATGAGAAATGTAGTTGTAATTGAGGATAGCATTGTTAGGGGAATAGATACTGTTCTCTGTGGACAGGATCGAAAGTCCCAAAAGGCTACATTACTTGTCCGGTGCAGGGTTCAGGATATCTCATAGGGGTGGCAGAGAAACGGGGAGGGGGAGGGGAAAAGATCCAGGTTTCAGTGGTTCATGTAGGTACCAACAATATAGGTAGCTAGAGGAAAGAAGTTCTGCTGGGGGAATATGAGCAGCTAAGGAGTATACTTGAAAAGCAGAACCTCTGAATTATTCCCTTAGCCATGAGAAAACTGGCACAGAGTCAACAAGGTTAACAAGGTAAACACATGGTTCAAAAGATTGGTGTCAGAGACCTGGGTACAAATTCATGGGAGATTGGCACAAAATGGGGAAAGGAGGCAGCTGTTCCATTGGGATGGGCTTCACCTGAATCATACTGGGACTAGAGTCCTGGTGAAATGCATAACTAGGGCTGTACATAGGGCTCTAAACTAAATAGTGAGTTGGATCGATTCAGTTGCTTGGAAAATTTATGGAAAAAGTAAAAGGGCGGGGGGTGGATGTTTACAAAAATGATCCCGGGGAGGAAGGGCTTGTCACGTGAGGAGCGGTTGAGGACGTGGGGTCTGTACTCAATAGAGTTTAGAAGAATGAAGTGGACCTGATTGAAACTTGCAAAATACTGTGAGGCCTGGAAGGTGTGGACTTGGGAAAAGATGTTTCCACTAGTAAGAGACTAGGATGCAAGGCCACCCCCCAAGAGCAAAAGGACAACCGTTGAGAACTGAGTGAGGAGAAATTTCTCCAGCCCGAGGGTGATTAATCTGTGGCACTAATTATTGCAAACATTAAAAATGTTTAACAGAGATAGATAGGTTCTTGATTAGTAAGGGGATCAAAGGTTATGGGGAGAAAGCAGGAAAACAGAGTTGAGAAACCTCAGTCATGATCAAATGGCAGAGCAGTCTTGATGGGCCAAATGGCCTAATTCTTCTCTTATATAGAGTCATAGATATACAGAACAGAAACAGACCCTTTAGTACAACTCATCTCTGCCAACCAGTTATCCTAAATAAATCTACTCCCATTTGCCTTCATTTGGACATGATCCCTGTAAACCCTACATATTCACATACCCATCTAGATGCCTTTAAACGTTGTAATCGTGCCAGCCTCCACCACTGCCTCTGGTAACTCATTCCATACAAGCATCATTCTCTGCACGAAAAAGTTGCCCCTAAAGGTCCATTTTAAATCTTACCCCACCACCTCACCTTAAACCTAGGCCCTCTAGTTTTGAACCCCCAACCCCAGGGAAAAGACCTTGTTTATTTACCCTATCCATGCCCCTCATTATTTTATAAACCTGTATAAGGTCATCCCTCAGCTTCTGACACTCCAGGGAAAAGTAATCCCAGCCTATTCAGCCTCTCTCGAAAACTCAAACCCTCCAACCCTGGCAACATTCTTATAAGTCTTTTCTGAACCCTTTCAAATTTCATTCTATTGGAGGAAGGAAAACCAGAATTGCACACAATTCTCCAAAAGTAGCTAAACTAATGTCCTGTACAGCTGTAATATGACCTCTCAACACCTACACTCAATCTTCAGGTGTTGCGGTCTTTCTAAAAAAAAGCAAAGGATTTTCAATAAGCTGTGAGGTTTCTTTAGCATTAAGATATTTTCTAAATCAACTTGTTCAGAGATGTCATACACGTATGGATCCAGTGAAACTTGAACCGAGGTCCCTTGACTCAGGCAGAGGGATATTACCATTACAATGGTAGAGTACCTCTTGTGGTTCAATTGCCATGATGTTCTCCAAATATTAAAATGCAAATTTGAACATGCTGTAGGAGGATTCTGCTCATACTTTCAAGGTTTAACTTGGCTGAGGAAGTGGCCCAATAGCTCCATGGATGAGGTTTCAGACAGGGTCTCTCAGGGGCATTTCTCCCCCAAAAGTAATAGTAGAAGCTATTTTAATTAAGGCAGATGTCACTACAAATGCACCACAGAGTTATAGAGCAGGTGATATTCCTGCCAGCAATGCCACAACTAGCTGCCAACACTTCAGAGTATAACCATTTGTAACAGTGAGCAGTTCAAAGATATTTTAACAAGTGCAAAGAAAAATGTGTTCCTTTTGAAGTGGCTCGGACTTACATAGACTTAAGTTATGACTAACCCTGCCACCTAATATCTCCTTTAAGCTCAGCATTTCCAGGTGACTAGAGACGTGTTGTGTGAATGTGCCAGCTCTCCAGGAAGTGTCTGAATTTTTCACTTGTGAATTGTGGGCCATTAGTGCTCAAAACCAGCTTGAATGACTGATATATACTTTCAGCTATTCTGCCATTTCAATGTTAGTCATTGATATGATCTGTTATGCTAAAGCCCCAGTAGTCAAAGTAGTGGTCATTGTTGATAAGATTGAAATTGTTCCTGTAAAAGTGAAGAGGTATCCCAAGATTCAATCAAAAACAAACACTGCAGGTGCTGAAAAACAACAAAAAAAATGTCGGAGCTACTCATCAGGTCTGGTAGCATCTGTTGAGAGAGGAAAAAGAAAAACAAAAAAAGTTAATGGCAGAGCTGTTCAAGAGAGCATCTTTAATCTGGCAGGCACACTCATATTCCTACTGCCCTGAATGCGTTAGTGAGTGGATGGTGTGATCTCCTGACCCAATTAATGGGTTAGGGGGTAACTGCAGACCATGGGGCTCTTGTAGTGCAGTGGTAGTGTCCCTAGCTCTGAACCAAACATCTGAGGAAGGGAAGGAAGGAAGATATTCAGACAGGGAACCTGGACTACAAAAATCTCCAGGCTACCTTAATGCGTGGGAGTTAACCTGTGTGCATTATTAAAAATCCTCTCCCAACATGTTTTCCATGCACCAGCCTGGGCTCGTCTCAGGCAGGGAGGTAGTGAGTAACGGATCACTGGTACATCTGCCATCACATGCTAAAGGTGGAAGTCTGGTTTATTATTAAGACAAGTTTGTCAAGCCTGAAGGAACTCTTGTTTCTACTGCTTGTGGGCTACAAAAAGTCAAGTGCCTCTTGGATCCAACTCTTCCCAGTTTCTTTTAACCGGAGGCCCAGGAATTCTGGCCTCCATGTGGCTAAAAAATACTTGAAGGGACCTTAAAACTGAGGGTAGGTGAGTTGAAGGCTAGTTTGATATTCAAAAATCAAATAATTTTTTGCTTGTACCAACCCAACACGCACCTCGGGGGTTAAAATTCCCGTCCCAGTTTCTTCCACAATGAAAAACATTTATTTAACACAGGAACCTGAAAACACAATGACCATTGTTCAACACATTGAAATAAACAGCCAAGGTTACAATCATTGCTTTCTACAGTAATTAGACTTCATTAGTTGTTAATAAAAAATCATATCAAACGATTTGTTTTCTTAATAAAAAAAGTGAACTTTTCACTTTAAAATGCCAAACATGCAATTCAGTTTGGTTCTGATCACAGCCTTTAAAGTATATAAACACTGCCACCTGGATCAGAGTATTTGCACAATGATGTGCACGGCCCTAATCAACGCCACAGTGGCGGTCCAGAGCAGCAGTTTTCAATGCTATGGGAAACCACCAAGTACATTAAATATACATTTGAGTAACTTGCATCAACAGTACAGCTGCACTATCATAATGTGCCTATTATTAACAAAGTACTAATTTAAACAGATTCACTGAAGCACAACAAAACTAAAAAGCAAAATTTTGCAGATGTTTGAAATCCAAATTCAACAAAATTTGACAAGATTTGACATGAGAGTTCTGACTTGGTCCAAAAAAAAGTGATATTTCTGAAAAGGCAGTCAGTCATTTAAATAAAAAAAGGCTGAACAAAATCAACAGAAATGACCTACAAAAGTACTCTTGTGGAAAACGTTCAACAGGACTTATGAACAGAGATTAAATCCATTCAAGAGACAGGAGAATGAGAGAATAACTCGATGAGGTGGGTTAAAAAACAGGGAACATGTAGAAATAGAATGTAAATCCAGTTGTATACCACAGATACAGACAATATTGCCAGATAAAAAAAAAGACCCACCCCAAGCACTAAAACACCCCATTCTGAAATACTACCACACCCAGTGTTCAGTCAGTCAGAGAAAGTAAAAGTTGTTACTTATCTCTGCTCATGTACCCACCGCACTTTGACCAAATTTACAAGTTTTTTTTCTGACAATAAATACCAAAGTTTGGTACATTATCAGAAGTCAGAAGTTTCCTGTCCTGGAAAAAGAGTAAAAAAAAGTGACCAAACAAATGAAAGCAAAACCACTGAGGATGCTGCAATTCCGAACTAAAAATAGCAAATTCTGCAGATGATGAACACAGCAGGCCAAGCAGCATCATAGGAGCAGAAAGGCTGACGTTTTGGGCCTAGACCCTTCATCAGAAAAGGGGAAGGGGTTCTGAAATAAATAGGGAGAGAGTGGGAGGCGGATAGAAGATGGATAGAGGAGAGGATAGGTGGAGAGGAAACAAACAGGTCGAAGAGGCGGGGATGGAGCCAGTAAAGGTGAGTGTAGGTAGGGAGTTAGGAAGGGGATAGGTCAGTCCAGGGAGGACGGACAGGTCAAGGGGGCGGGATGAGGTTGGTCGGTAGGAGATGGAGGTGCGGCTTGAGGTGGGAGGAGGGGATAGGTGGGAGGAAGAACAGGTTAGGGAGGCAGGGACGAGCTGGACTGGTTTTGGGATGCGGTAGGGGGCGGGGAGATTTTGAAGGTTACAGGAACAGCAACTCATTCTGCTTGGGAACCCTGCAGCCTAATGGTATCAATGTGGACTTCACAAGTTTCCCTTCCTAACTCCCTACCTACACTCACCTTTACTGGCCCCATCCCCGCCTCTTCGACCTGTTTGTTTCCTCTCCTCTATCTGCCTCCTACTCTCTCCCTATTTATTTCAGAACCCCCTTCCCCTCCCCCTTTTCTGATGAAGGGTCTAGGCCCGAAACGTCAGCCTTTCTGCTCCTATGATGCTGCTTGGCCTGCTGTGTTCATCTTCTGCAGAATTTGCTATTTTTAGTTCGGAATTGCAGCATCCTCAGTGGTTTTGCTTTCATTTGTTTGGTCACTTTTTTTTTTTTTTTTAAAAACTATTTTTCCTGGACAGGAAACTTCTGACTTTTGATAATGTACCAAACTTTGGTATTTATTGTCAGAAAAAAAAACTTGTAAATTTGGTCAAAGTGCAGTGGGTACACGAGCAGAGATAAGTAACAACTTTTACTTTCTGACTGAATGAACACTGGGTGTTGTAGTATTTCCAGAATGGGGTGGGTCTCTTTTTATCTTTGGACCTTATTCAGAAGAAGAGTCATAACAAACTTAAAAACTTAACACTGTCCACAGATGCAGCCAGACCTACTGAGTTTCTTTAGCATTTGAGCGTTTTATAATAAAACATCCAAACACACCTGGGACTCACTGGTGAGCATAATTACGGGGGTCATAAGACTTGAAGAGATTACATGCAAAAAAGTCATTATTTGACTGCAAGGTCATAAAAAGTGAATGTTTGCAAAAGCTCATGGTGAAAGAATCATCAGAAGTTACCTATTGCTGGTTTAACATAATGGCATGATGCCAGCACATCCTGGCAGCCTCTCACTTGCATGTATTTCAGTTAATAAAGAGATTACTTTATTTATAGTCACATATCAAGCATATTAATTTAGTGAAAAAATATTAGCTCAAGGATAGGATGTCAGTGTGGCCAAAACAAAAAGGACTCCTTTGGATATGGTCATTAGATTATGCGACTCTGCTCCAAGGAAATATAGGTATTATAGTAAGAGACCACCACCCATCTCATTCTGGAAAACACATTTGAAAAGAATGCCTAGACACAGGGAAAAAGGAACAAACAGCTGCTGCTACTGCTGGTCTGTCAACTCTATGAAAGACGCTGTCTGGTTTGTTTGAAACTTGCTGTCCTTCCAGGTTCACTTGGTCTTTCACAACTGCATTTTCCATAAACCAAGTGTGAGTGCTATGGGATGCACTGAAGCATAAGGCAGCCACTGCAAAGGCTCAAAACTGAGAGATGCCAGTTACTGTCCCTTCTGCAACACTGAAGCAACCAGCACAAACTCCTATTTATCAAAGTATTGACATGTCCACAATTGCATCAAACATGATGCAAGTATCAAGCTCCATTTTAGCTAATTAATAATAGAAATTTTATTAAGTAATACAAATCTGTTCATTTATTATAATTCATCCAATACAAACATTTTAAATACTGGAAATAATTATTGCAAATATAAAAATGTTACACAGTTAGTTCAGGTCCAGATGTATAGAATATATTCTCACTGATGTTCATACATGGGTGAGTAATGTCTATTAAAAATTGATCAATCTTTACACAAGATGTAACATAGAACACAGATTACTTCGGTTCTTATTTTGATTGAAGATTCATAGTCAAATGTCTTACAGAGTATACTTATTTGAAAGAATACTTTTGTTAAAAAAAGTGCAATGTTCAAGAAAAAAAATTATCCTGTAGTCAGTTATAGAAAAAAATTAGTATTTTAATTGTGTCAAGTGTGTAACATTTTTACTTAGTGACTAGCAGTATCCAGTCAGTTCCATTCATAATCTTGTACACCTACATGGTGATGTGAAAGGTTCATTTGAGTATTTGGTTATTCAAACAATCAAGATCCCAGACCCTGCTTCATTGCTGTTTCCCTTTTTCATGGGCTGCTACAGTTCACAGTCTGCAATTGCTAGGTGTAGCCTCTGTTGCACAAAGTGAGCTCAGTTACGCTGGCAAATTTACTACATCTTAAAGCAGATTTCTGAAAATGCTGTTTTACACAAGACAAAGTGATCTAAAGAATGAAATTCCCAATTTAAAAAAAAAGTGCAAACCACTGACTAGAAAGTGCAAAGGCATTAAAAATCTTGTGACTAGAAAGGAAGTAGAGGTCATTCTTATTATCACTGTTCTCAATTCTATAATCAGGTGATTTAAGAAACAAAGCAATAACAATGTGACTAACTTCCTGTACAAAGTTTTTTTACATTCAAATTCATTAGAGCAGTTAAGTGGACCCCGTACTGACAAATGCTAGCTGAAAGGGGCAGATTTTAAACCAGCTCCAGAACACAAAGTATGATTGCCCTAAAGCAATAAAGTTTAGATGTTATGGTGCGTTGTACAAGGGTTTCTTATTTCACTGTCTGGCAAAGTAAGTCCATTAATTAATGCCTCCATAGTCACTGGAATCTATGCTCTTCTCAGTTGCAGAAGATCCTATCAGCCCAGGATCATGACCTACATTCAAAAGAGAGAGATGCACCATTAGCAAATAAAAGGGGAAAAAAGCTTCAAGCAGTAACATTAAGATGGAAGCAAAGTGATTTCATAAATTTAGCTAAAAACTGAAAGAACTGCAGATGTTGTAAATCAGGAACAAAAACAGAAGTTGGAGGAAAAGCTCAGCAGGTCTGAAGAAAAAAAGATTGAATTAACATTTCAGGTCCAGTGACCCTTCCTGAGGTGCTCCGAGGAAAGGGTCACTGGACCGGAAACTTTAACTGATTTTTCTCTTCATGAATTTAGCACTTTAATGTCTGTGCAAGGGTCAAGTACAACAGAAGCACTCATCACAAACTAGGAAATAAGCTGCAACCCATTTTCTCCTTGATTGAAAATTAAGAAGTCTGAATCTAATTCATAACAACTGGTTCAGCCAGTGTGGCTTTAAAGTTTACAAAGGCCTTTGGAAGTTTCATTGGAGTTTAGTAGCCTATAGTTTACAATTTGGAATATGCTCCAAGGTCCGTTCGAACTTCTATCTTCAATTGTAAAAAGGAGCCAAACAGATATAATACAAGGCACAGGAAGCCACCACTTAGCCCAGAGACACTCAGTTTTTTGTAGAGCAACACATCAGTCCAATATGTTAGATAAAATGGTCGTAAACTTGCACAACACCCAAAAGCAAAAACCCACTTCCTATGGGAAAAAAAAGAAAAGAGAAAATTCCCTCCACCTTCTTTACTCCAAAGAGATCCATCCTGGCTTTGCCACTTCTGCTTTGGCTCTTTCAGACTAATATGCTATTTTTTCCTTTTTTATAATGACCAGACAATCTAAATTGAGGAATTGCTCGAGGAGAGATATTGGCCAGGACAATGGAGGTAGTTGTGTCTCTGCTTTCCCACAGTACCATGTGATCTGTTCTATTCATTTGAAAAGGCAGACTAGGACTCTGTTTAACATCTTACCCAATGCTGAGGTCCCTCAGTATTTCACCAGGGACAGCCTTGGTTTTTTTAAAAATGAACCCAAGCCGGGAGCGAGACTCAACCCTGGGCTGAGAGTCTTGGAGACGAGCACTCCCAACTGAGCCACAGGTAACTTTCCAAAACAGCACTGCAGCTAAAATCCCATATTCCTTGAATAATTCTGCTCAATTTCCTCTGCACCCTTTTAAAGGGTCCTCACATCCATCCTAAAGTATGGTGCCAAGAACTGGATACAATACATTAATTGAGAAAGTAGTGAGAATTCTCAGTACTGGACAAATCATTTGCTTAAAGCCACAGGAAAATAGATCACCCCCTAATTAAAGGGAAAGTCTGTTAAGAGACCAATCTTCTGGTAACCCTTCCATCACGTTTAAAGCTAAAAAAAGGTAGGTTGCAGACACTTTAAGATGTCAACATGCTCCATTAAAGCTAGCAACTCATTCCCTGGTATGAAAATGTCCATCTGTAAAAAACAAACCGGAATTTCATTTAAAAGTGAAATATCTGCAGTCAAGAGTCTCTTGCCTCTTAAAAGAGAATGCATAAACTATACAAGAGCGAATGGAATGAAGTTTGCTTATTACAAGATAGCAAAAAGAAATGCATGCAAATCATTTGGACTGAATAACCTCAAGGGACATTTGTTTCTAATTCATGAAATAAAAATTTTTACATGATAATTTGTATTTCCAGAACGTGCAGTTTTCACACAATCTCCCATTTCTTACAGAATCTACTGAAAACATTTCAGTAGAGAGAGTGTCCAACTCTTAATACCATGGCCTCAAAATGATATGATACACTAAAAGACTATTTATCTGGTCTCTGTGCCACAAACCAATTCAAAAAGTAATTCAAACCAAAAACAAATCCTTAGATTTAAAAAAGGAAAAAAATCCAAATTTTGGAATGACTGATCAAGCAGGAGGCACAAACTTGATGCCTACCTCAACCCAGACCACAACCAACCAACCAACCACCCACCACTTATGACAAATAATTACATCAACCAATCAATTCCAATGTAAACAAATTGGCCTTCCTTAAAACAGCATATTTATAATAAACTTCATAAATACATACTATAAACTTGAAAAGTTTAAATATCTAAAAACTGCCGGTTATCTCTGCACACTAAAGTAATGATGCATTAATATGCAAGAGTAACTTTAGTTTAAACTGAGAAAAAGACACCAATTGAGTATTGAAGGCACACAGATGAAGTGATCAGTTACTTTGCAGTGGCTTTCTCCAACAGAGGAGATGGATTACAGTAAACCTCAACTGCACAGATGGCTTGAACAGTGAACAAGGCAAACATATCCCAAAAAGGCTTCTCATGTGGAAATCTGCTCTAAAAATTTGAACCACAAAAGGAAGTAATAGTTGCACCAAATCATTTTGTAGAATCAGAATCCCCACAGTGCAGGAAGAGGCCCTTTGACCCAGTGTCCACACCGACCATCCAAAAAGCATTCCGTCCTATCCCCTTAATCCTATATTCCCCATGGCCAATCCACCTAGCCTGCATATCTTTGGACCGTGGGAGGAAACCAGAGTACCTGGCAGAAACTCATGCAGACACTGGGAGAACTGTGTGGAGTTTGCACACAGTCATACAAGGCTGGAATCAAACCTGGGTCCCTAGTTCTACGAGGCAGCAGTAGTAACCACTATGCCACCATATCACCCAGCATTCTAGGTAGTTTTCAACTGAAACGTAAAATGGACCTGAAAAAAATGTTTAAGTTCAAAATATTTAAACATTAGACACTAATATCATTTAACTATACTTTTTAAAGTGAAGAAAAAAATTTGATCACCTTCCTTTGATCAATACCTCAGCACCTGGCGACCATTAAGAGTATACTTAGAAATGACTTGTAAAAGGCAGAACTTAACTGAAATTCTTTTCTAGGGCAAAGCAATGCACGTGCCACAGAATTTGTAAAACAGCACAATACTGAAGAACTGTAATAGCTGTTACAGAACAGTCTATTTGAAATTCCTTAAAATGAGATTTGCATTCACTCAAAATGGGAGTAAAAGAGTTATTGAAAACATTAGAATCTCTAAAAATTGTAATAAATGCTTTATTGATTTTTGTCATTAAAACTGATGGGCCCAGGGAGGTGAAGTTTAAGAAAATAATGTATTTTGAAGCATTATACAAACTAGCAGGAGTAGGTCATTCAGTTCTTTGAGCTACTCCACTATTCAATATAATTAGGGCTGATCAGATAGTAAACTCAACTCCACATTCCACACATCCCCATAACCCCCATGCTTATCATTAATCCATCAGCCTCTACTTTAACAATATTCCAGGACACACACCCTTAAAATACGGCAGAAGCCAAGCTTAAAAGATGACCCTCTGAAGAATTTGCCTCACTGTAAATAAGTGCTCCTTATTTTCCAGGAGTGATCTTAGTTCTAGATGCTTACCCACAAGAAAAGCCACCTTTCCATATGCAGTCTTTCAAAGTCGGAGGACCTCGCTTCAAACAAGTTGCCACTAAACCACCTGAGAATTTAGGTACATCTTCAAGGGGAACTAGGGATGGTTAATAAATTCTCACCTAACCAACAAAGCCCACAACCTATGAACAAGTTAAAATGTACATCTACAGGTACAATGGCATCAGGAAATTAAGTGCTTTTTTGTTTCTATATCACAAGACATTTCTCAGATATTGGAAACAATAACTAATCCATTACAGAAATTCAGCACACATTCAAAATAAACCAGCTCTTGAAAGAGTTATTCCCTGAACATTCCGACAGGCTAAACATAGAAAGATATTTAAAGCCAGAAATTAACATTACTGACAACATCTAGCAACTACCATTAATGAGACTCTACTAATATTCCAAAAGTTTAGAGACTTTTAAAAACCTGTGCTCCTGGTCCAGGGCCCATGTTCCCGAGCAGATTTAATATTAGGTGCGAGATTAGTAATGATTCACTCAAAATCTATTGTTGCTTCATTTGAAGCCTCTTTTAATGATTTGTAAAATGACAAATTTGTCATGACTTAACTTACCGTAACGATCATAGATGTTTTACAACTCATTTTTAGCTTTTAAAACTACAGATTAAATAGCAACTGTCAGCATCACTTTATTAAAATAGAACAGTAATTTTATGCTGTCTTAAATATTCAAAACTTGCATGTGCTCACAGTAAACTTGCATTTAAAAATTTATTGCAGCATTTAAGTTGCTTCAAGTGAATTTTAACATTATTTAATAATGTATATGTTAATAATGCATTCTAGATTCTTATTGAAACTTTCCATTATTGGTATAGAATTTAATGTAAGAACAAAACTGTCATGAAATAAGTGAAGTGAACTCATCTGGAACTTGAGTCCAGATTGTATTACACAATATTATGAAATTTTACATTCAAAACATAATGCAAGAAATTATTGCTTTAACTTTCAGTAAAGGATATTGCTAGATACTTTAGGTTGTTTCACCACAGTATTTAAGAATGTCACAAACAATTATTTTGCTGTACTGAAACATCTGCACTATTGCAAGTTTACCACTTTCCACGTTAAATATTTGGCAAGTTTTGTAACTGATAATATTCATACAAGCCTGCAAACTTGGGAACAAAGCAATGGGAATAAGTTGACTCTAACTGAAGTTTAATTGTAAAAAGGAGTGTTGTGTTGCTTGGACTGAAAAAGGTAGTTGGCATAGGCCCAGAGGACCAGAGTGTTGCCCTCTCATTTTAGAGGGGCAGCTGGTGGTGAGTTTAGCCCAAGGGTCACCATACCTCTGGCAAAGGGGGTGCATGAGGTTGAGAAGGTGGGACTTTCCTGGTGACCTCACCTACTGCAGGAATGGAATCCATGCTGTTGGCAATATTCTGCATTACAAGCTGGTTGTCCAGCCAACTGAGCCAAAGACATTAGAAGATGCCATTTAACAAAAAGTAGGTAGATCCCATTATAAACAAAAATTTAAATTACTAAAAACAAAATTTTTACTTTCACACCTTCCTTC